TTTGATGTACTTCTGGAATTGCTGGTCTGGAAATGTTTAAAAAAATACATCTATAATAAATAGTAACTTTAAACTATATCCAGGCATATGTTCAACATAGAGATTTCTTCTAACTCTAGGTTTTCATATCTTTGATTTTTTTTAAAAGGCACAGTGTTGTATAATTCCCAGCCTGTTATAATTAGCTATAGAATTCTGTATTGTCATGAGCATTTTCTTGGGCTAGCCGAGAAGAATAACTAAGTGTGTAACCCATGAAGAAACAAAGGAAGAAAATATTTGATATTTTCAACACGTTCAATCTCAAATAAAAACATCATCTAAAAGCTAAGACTTGTGGGAGTCCAGATAAAAACGAGAGAGCTTACACTTTCGGCTGACAGCTGCTGTTCTGATTGCAGGAGAAGGACACTTTTATCCACAGCCCCGAGGGCACAGAACGAGTCTGGGGCTGCTTGAAGATAGAGACTAGCGTTGGAGCCAGGTAGCCCCCGCTCCTTAGAGAACTGTATGCTAACCTGAGGGAGGAAAAGAAAAGGAATGAGAGTAGAGATAATTTTATATAAAACAATTTTCGTAAATTCAATCTTTTCCAACTAAATCTTTGTGCGTTTCTGTACCTTTCTCCTGCCCACTTTCACCCTCAAATCTCTTTGCCGAGACATCTCCTTCACCACCCTCTTGTCGTTTCAGATTAGCACTACTGCCAAAGATTATGCATTCTGTGTGGTGATTCTCTCATCCCCCGATAATTTAATCATATCGACATTTAGTGTGAGATTACCATGTAAAGTTTACAGTAGTCAGATAAGGAGACAAGGAGCAAACTGCTCACCCCACTCACTTTGGACAGGCTGCAAATAGAAGAAACATTACCTTGTTTTTAAAGCATTTGTCAACCTGGAATCTAACACTGTCAGCCACGATTTCCCCGCTAGGGTGAAGGGTGTAGACAAGCATGACAGCCACGGGGGCCAGATCGGCACTGACGTTGATTGGGAATGAGAAGCTTCCCTTCCAGGCTGTGTAAATAGGAGATCAACAGACACAGTGACAAAGTTTCCTGGATCACAGGGTACACTTTGGTAAAGAGAGAATGGCTTATGGAATGGGATCTATATGTACAAATAAAGAAGGTTGCATAATTT